ATTATGTTCTATTAGGATTTAGTTTTGAGTGTTTAGGGGGTTTTAGGTGTCAAAACATTTTTTAGGGTTTAAAATTTTATGATATAGGCTTTATAAATCTATAATTAGTGGCATTTTTGTAAATGAACGTTTCTAAATAGCATTCTTGCAGTGCACACAAAAAGTGACATTTTTGTAATTGCCCATTTTTTAATTGCTATTGCTTGATTCGTTTGCGCCAACATAAAAACGCTGGATATATCTAATGGAGACCTCTTTTTCTTTCTTTTTTTGAGGTAAGCTTCTCACCAGATCAGGAAGCACTCGATACCAACACGCCACTACAGGGGACCATTTATCATGTGTTTTATGGAAGTGAAAGTATGTTATATAATGAAAGCATGCTTATACCACTAAACAAAGATATTTCTTGAAAGGACACGACCAAAATAATTATTAAGCATTATTCAAAGGACACGACCAAAATAAATATTTAACAAAAACCCACAAAACAAAAAGATTGCATGTAGTTTAGTTAGCACCTCTTCTTCTTTTGCGTCAAGGTCCAGCTCTCACTAGATATGAACCAAACTTGGAACATAAAATATTAAGAAAAAAAATGGCCAACTTAAACTTGTATAACTTCTATCTCCCAAATCCACTTGTGTGACTTTTTTATCCTCCCCAACAATATATGCAAAATGTTTGAAAGTGGTACGGGTGCCCAATATATATTTCTCACACCGCATGATAATCATTTTCTTCTCCTCATCGAACAAAACCGCTCTTAATATAACGCAAGCATCATGTTCAGGAAAATCCAGTGTTAAGGCCTTGCTCCATGACACCACTTTGGTCTCATCAATCTTATTTGTTACCCATATCTCTTGCTCCCATGTATTTTCACGTTGTAATAACACACAAAGTTTCTCTTCTCTAACACAAGATAGAGCCATATTTTTAAGACCACGCCCACCGTACACTGAAACGGAAGAAGTAGACGTTCAAATATTTCTGTTGTATAATCAAAACAGACTAAGAATATGTCGACCTGTTTCTTTCGATGTCCATCCCAAGCAAACCAATAAGTCTTTCCCTTCAAAGACACGCGGGTAGTAGAACTATACAAAAATTGGAAGTCCGGCCAGAGTGAAATCAAGAATCATCCATGAGTTTGAGTTATTAATCTCATAAATCTGGTACCTCGCCATCATACCTAATGCTCAATATTTTGTTATTATCATGGGATTTGATTTCCTGGTATAGGATCCAATATAATAGGTGTGGTAATTATCACGTGTGTGTTGGATCCACGTTGTTTGGATCCACCTTGTTTGACCAGTACATGGGTTCCAAACAAGAATTCTACTGTCTTCACAGATGGTGCATAACAATAAGCCCTGGTAGTGAAAGACTTGCAATATATTGGAATTGTACTAAGGCTGATCTCACCTTTTTCATCTATAGATGGAACTCCATGGAGATCAACGCTGGTCGAACAAACCTTAAGTAGTTTCTTTGTCAACTTGAGAATCAGATGGTGTTTTGCGGCTTTGTCGAAGTGTTTTCTTGCGAAACTCCTATTGTTCAATAGCATGTTCCATCCTTTGCAAGTAGATCATACTTGTTTTAGAGATGTGTCCGGAACGCGACAAAGTATCTCCTCTAACAAATCTCCAGGAAGGTCCGGCATCGTAATTGTGATCTCTCTCAAGGAAAACATAGTGACTTTGGTTCTTTTTTATGGTTTCCGTGTCTCACTTCTCATTAAACACCCGGTCGCATAAATATTGCATATACGAGCTTACTTGCGCTGCACTCCACACTAGAAAAGAAAAAAATTAAGTCAACCCATCTAGGTCTCCACTGAAAAACCACCCATATGATTGTCGTCCGTGTGTTTGATTGTCGGTGTCACACGTGGCGTAATGCTCCTAACATGACTGTGGCAAGAAAACGCACCCACTGTGCTTTTATAGACGGCAAGTTATTTGTACAGAGGAATCCATGAAGAATTGGGCTGAGGTTTTCGATCTCAAGACTCAGACTTGGAAGCCATTATTTAGCCTTAGTCATGACTGTAAAATTCAGCTTTAAAAGATATACGGAAGAAATGGGCATAAAAGGTATCCATATGATTCCAAACAAGGAACATGGAAGGAGGTGGTTTTGGGTCCAGAACATACGAGTGGACCTTGGTGCGTTATAGAACATGTAAATTTTACTCTCTTTTACCGGTAAGCTCAAGTGGTATGACTCAGAGCGTAGAGACTGATTTATGGTTGAGGATTTGCAATATTTGTAAATTTGCTAGAATGCAACATTTCGGTTAGCTAACCACCTTGGGAATCTCGTAATACTATATATGAGTTTTCAATGGCGGGAGGTTAGGTTGGAGAAGCGCATTGGCTATTATGGATTAGAGATTTGGGGGGAGATTGAACGATTGAATGCTGTGCTTACAGTCCCCAATTCATATAAGGTATTGAACCTTTGATTCATTTGTTTTCATTTGAGTTCTGAAACTTCATAATCTTTATTTTCAATTTATCTGGTTAAGTTTGTAGAACAGAAATTACTGTTCTTGGTTACAAATGTCATATGACTCACAACTCATATTATTGAGTTGATAGGCCTCTCAAAGGCGTCGTTGGTTTCATTAGGTTCATGACAATTCTTCTACCGTCAACATAAGTAAAAGTGTCCGGTAAAAATATTTTTAAAACATTTAAGTTTAAAAATATCTATTAAATACACACTAATTTATATTTATTTGTTTTT